CGATCCATTTGAAGAGAAGGTAAAAACTACAGGTGATGGGATCAAGCTTTCAAGTAAAGAAGTTGTTGAAGAGCATAATGAACATAATCTTGAGGGCAAGAATTCCATCGAAGCTACAATGGAGACGACAAGGACTGGGGGGCAACAAGCAAATGCAATGATCGATGAAAGCAAACCAGAAGAAAACAAAGGCCGAAATAAGCGCAAGTGTAAGAGATCAAAAGTCACCTTCGCTGAACTATTGGATAAATATCAAAAGAAGAGTGAAGAGAAGAATGCTTATCGGCCAAATCATGCAAAGAAACCAAGGTCACCCCCAAGGCGCAAATATGAGGATCGGTATTGGTAAAGTGATAATTTTAATGCAACATATTCATATCCTTATTTTGGGCCGCAAATGCCAATGTCGTGGATGCCTCCCTATGCTCATATAGATACATATTCATCATCGGACAGGTATGATACAAGGGCGCATTCTCCATCTTATTCTAGACCATCTCACCAATACTATGCAGCTCCAAGAAGATCAACATTTGAACAATCACGCTTCAAAGACCGTTTCAATCATAAGGAATCGGTCCAGAGCTCAAGGAAGAAGAAAGAGGTGGTCAAGCAAGTTTACCGCATTAAGAGAGATGGTCGTCAGAGTGCAATTTCAGATTTGATCTCAAATGAAAAAGAGCCAATTAAAGTGTTGACATTGGCTACTAAAGGCAATGAGACAAAGCAACCAATTATTGAGAATCGAAGTGCCAAATCTGAAGAAAAGAATTTGAGAGTGCACAAGGCCAAAAAGGAATTGCCATTGGTCAAAACAGAATCACAGCCGAGATGCCCGCTTGGCTTATCGTATTGGCAAAAGAAAAAATTACAAAAACTTAGTGCACAAGAACTTGAAGAAAGGAACATGGCATGGGTTCCCAAAGGAAGTGCTCAAAATAAGAATTATGTGCAAGCTTCCATTACAAGAAGTGCGGCAAAGGTGAAGAAGGAAAAGTGTGAAAACTACGAAGGACCAAGCCGAAGGTTTCAACATCTTTGGTCTACACATTATCCATATTCTGCAACTATGCTATTAATGCATATGCCATGGAATTCGTCATCAGGTATGATTGGTAACCCTCAATGGGCTTATTTTAATCCATGGATGCAATATAATTTCTTACATCATAAAAGGGTATTGCCAAATCACTATACATTTGATTAGCTACAAGTTTATTGCTGATCCAAAGGGCCGAAATACTTGATTTGTCATTTCGTTTGTTTATTTCGGCTAATGTGCTTCGAATGAAGTTTACATGGTAATGGCCGATATTTATCTATCGTCCTAAGATTATGTCAATGCATGGTCGGTATGGTATCCAAACATCGTCCTTATTTCAATAGGAGACCAAAACAAGCCTCATACAACTTAAAATATGTTTGCACAATAATAAAAGCCGAATATGAAAATTTATTCGGTTTGGAGCTTTTGGTTGCTGTAGGTGCTATACAGATTGAGGCTTTCAGTGATTCATTATAAGTAGTGCAACAAATATACAAGGGTTATCAATGTTTTGACGAATCACTTATAGTTTATCTTGGGATATGTCTAGATGCAAAATTTACCTTGGGTTGCTTTATTGTCCTTCATATATCTAGACATGACAATTCGAAAGAGTTGGCACAGCAAGCATCCGGCTACTATGTTAACCATGGTGTATTGTATTATTTCTATCAATAGCTGATGCTAGGTCTTGTCAACATAGGTAAGGCTGAACCAAAGCCCACCGCTTCGGCCACTAATGAAACTTTTATGCAGGCGAAGTAAGGATTGGAGAAAGTTTATTATTGATTATCAGCAAAATCCTAGCAAAAGGGTGAATAATATGGTTCCGAGAATGACCTTGAGATACATATCTATGGGACTTTATCATCGGATTGTTAAGGAAGTTGAGAAAGTTTCACCCAAGCTTGCGTCAAAATATTCACACAAACAATGGCCGATATAAATTTATCGTCCTAGGAATATGCCAAAATGGCCGATGGAGTGTTGACATCATCCTTATAGCAAGCTATGTGCAAGTTATTTTTTGGCACACAGGCTTTGCCGAAAAACAGGGGGGCATGTGTTGACACCAAATTTTGGCACAGTCAAGAACTTATTTAAAATGGCCTCAAATATAGAAGTGTTCTACATGAAAAAGTTTTGTATTGTCGATACTAACATCTTTGAAGTTTGGGCCATCGCCATCTGATCTCATCTCGAAGGCCGAAATTGTGTTCGAAATACTGAGATTTTGTATTTAGAACACTATTCGGCACATTACGCACCCAAGACTGCCTCGTACGGAAACATGATCTACATGGATTGTCTTTGTCTCGTCGAAACGATCGATTTTGATATAAGAGTCATTCCAATCCGAGTTCGTATGCAAAAGTTAGAGCCATCCGAATACAACACTATCACGAGCCAAAAGTGGCGCGCCCCACCAGACACCCTGTCTGATGGGTAGCGCGAATAACAGCCTGTGTTGCACGAGCAATTTGACCCTTAAGATGAACTCTAATCAAAAAACGTTCAACATAAAAGTTGTTCGTCTCGTCGAAACGGTCAAGATTTCTTTTGGTCTTGTTTCCATCCGAGGTTGTTTACCACCTCAAAAGTTACCTGCAAGGTGCAGCCAGTTTAAACCGAACAGTTTTGAAAAGTTCGGACAGAACTAATCCGAATTTGACTAGGGTTTTGCACGTGAATCCAAGCCTTTTCCTTGCACGGGAAGTCCAACCGCCTCTTATATACCTGATGGGTGATGGCCGATTGAACAACACACAATCGATCAATCAATCTATTACTTTTCCGTGTTCATCTACTTTTATCTCTCCCCTTGTATTTTTCTTCTCGTTCTTCGTCGTTCTTCAAGATTGGAGGCTGCGAATCCACGAGGCTCTAGGAGCGGTAAGACCGACCTCGAGCAGCCAATCGTCGCCGCGAGCCCTGACGGGGTCCCTCCCGGGCGAGCGGGGCGTCTGGTCCCAAAAGCGCCGGCTTGCTGTCTTGCGTATCGCGCTGGAAGTCAGCCTCCCGGGCTGTGAGTTGCGGAGCATCTCCCTCGGCGCCGTGGGTACACATCGACGTGTTCGTGTGACGCATTCCAGCGTCAACAACTTCTGAAAAAGGGTATGTAAAACATCATCGGTGAATTTCGGTTGCGGAACGTCTCCCCTCTCCCTCCCTCCCGCGTCGCCCCCACAAGGCGACCGGGGGGAAACCCTAGTTCGCCGGCCTTCCCCTCCCCCCTTCGTCCTCCTCCTCCCCCGCCGCTGCCTGAGGGCGCCGGGCGAAGCCCTGCAGTTGCCGGCGGCGGCGGGGCCTCTTGGTCTTCCCGCTCGCGTTGGGCCGGCACGGGCCGGCGCACCGGGCCGGAGCGTGTCGCGTTGCTGGGCGTCACGGCGGAGCAGCGGGCGGGCGCGGCGTCCCAGCGTCTTCACTGATGCGCGACGGGCAGCTTGGTGGTCGAGCGCGCCTGGGGCTCGGAGGTGGCTGCTGCGCCAGCGCAGTCAGATCTGGCGCAGGCGGCGGGCGGCGCAGGCTGTGGGCATCCACCCCTACCGTGGCCCTGGCTGCTGGTGGTGGAGGCGCAGCAGAGGCAGGCTGGTAGGCATGCGGGCCGGACTCCGACTGGTTCCGGTGGTTGGACGGCGGCGAGCGGCGTGAGTTGACTCCCTGGTGAGCATCCTTGGTTCTTGGCAGTGGTGGATGTGGTGTCCCTTGCTGGTGAACAGGTGGTTGTCGGTGGCCTCGCGCGGATCTACACCGGCGCCGTGGTGGGGCGACATAGGGGGTGTCCGGTGGGGAGGTTGGTTGGAGGGATGGGAGGCGCCGACGAGGTCAGGCCACCCGTCGCTGGCATAGGGGTGTGCCAGTCCGGATGCGTCCGCTCCCCCTCCTCCCCCTTTCCTCGGCCGAGTGCGCGCGGCCGCAACTCCGGCGATTTTCGAGGCGGGGCATCTACTATTGTTCAGTTGGTTTGGGGCTGCCGATTGGACCAAAGCCAAGGCCTTTGGTTGGTCGCGGGGTGTTTGGATGCAGGGTGGCGGCCCTGGCGACGGGAGACGCGGCATTTGTGGGCGGAGCGAGCGTCTCAGGTGCGGGCGGGCAGCCATGGCCATGCGGGTGGCATGGGTGCTGGTGGTCGGCGAAGCTTGGGTGCAATGACGGGGGTGATCCGGGGAGTATTACTTGCCCAGTTGGACTGGCCAACGGCGGCGGCGTCCGCAGAGGTTGTTCCCTTCCTGAAGGCCCCTTCGCGGTTGATCCCTCCCCATCGCATTGCTCCGGGTGAAAACTTGATCTTCGGATCAGACAGTGGCGTTGCTTTGTAGTCGTTTCCCTTCTTGGAGGCACTGTCTTGGAGGCCGTGCTCCGTCGTGGTCTGTCTCACCCCTCCTCGGTGGCCATCTAGGCTTGGTGGCGTTGGGGTGGTGTGGCGGTGCCCGGCACCTATGTATCTTGCCTTGGGTGCGTGTGTCATGTGTGGTGGTGGTGTTTGTTTGTATCGGTTTGTTTGATGGTCCTTTATATATAAAGCAGGGCGAAAACCTTTTTCGGTAAACATCATCGGTATAAGCAGTATTTATTGGAAATTCAAAATTGCACAACTGGGAGCACATACCAACGGTTGCAAAAAAAAGATATTCTGATTTCCAAACTATTCAAGCAAAATCTCAAATGTCAACTTTCGAGTCTTCCAAGTGCATGTAAATTTTCGTGCAAACATGATAAACTCTGTGCCATACGTACAAACACAAGTGTAATGCTCAAAGATTAGTCTTCAGAGTACTCAATTTTGTTCTTATTCCAAGGCACAATAATGCTCTTTTTGACATGAAAAATACAGATATGTTAAGGACTTAAACATATAGTAAGTTTTTTACTAATTGGGCTCATATTATGCTGCTCTCAACAAGATAAATTCAATTTAACATGTAGACATTTATTTACCTTCTAGGTGTTGCCACTATACACTAAGCTTGGGACGGTAATATACACTGGCAAATTTCTTGGTAATGGAGTCAACACACGCCATCCTTATTCTTTCAGGTGTGGCCGGGTTGTCAAGGGGGAACCAGTCGAGATGCCCCTCCTCTGCCCTGGCCGCTGTGATTGCATCTTTTATCGCAAACAAGACGGAGGAAGCAAGGAAGAACGGGGGCTCTCCTACAGCCTTGGACGAGTGGATGGCCTTTGGGTTTGGAACGCCCCGCAGTCAAGAGAATAAAGTGACAGATTAAACAAGGGGACACGGAGTAAATAGAAGCAAAGACATGCCTTCCAAGAAAACACAATTCAGCTATGAAGTTTATGTTGAAGATATTCTGTTTTAAAGGATTCCACGTTGCCACATGATTGTGCGCGTGAAATGCATGTGGGAAGTACTGTCATCGACACTGTCTTCACTTTAAAGATCAAGCAACTGTGGAAACCTACGTCTACACTTCACATTTATTTCTTCCATATATGCCTGTGGGCTGCCGTCGCTGGAGTGGCAGAAAAGCCATCCTGCTAGGTATCAATTGCCCTTTTCAAGAAAAGAAACAATAAATCTTTTCGGATGCATGATTCGATGATACATTGGTTATGTAGCAGAGTAACATTATAAGCACTAGACAGAGCAGCCCACAATTAGCTGTTACAGTTAATATAAGACAACGGTTTAACTGTTAACAGGATAACAAATAGATGGACGAAGGGCAGATGTCTGGTTTCATTGTAAGTTGTTTTTGCAGTAGTTTATGTCTAAAACAATTTTCAGGCAATTTGAACCAGCTATTGCAGGAAAAGAGCCCCTGATGTTGTAGTGCCTCACCACTACTGTTGCAGTACAAAGTCACACCTTTTTTCCATTGTAATACTTGAAATCCAACTTATGCAAAAATGGGAACTTACCTTCAACAGTGAAACCTTGAAATTGAGAGGTATATCATTTACAGAGGGTATTTTGTAAGAGCCGGGTCCATGAGTGAAAAGGCGTCCAGGTCGGATCCACTTGTGGTTATCATCCCCCCATTTTAGCTCTTCCATGGCAGCCCAGCCCAACCCTTGGATGAAAGCTCCTTCAATCTGGCATAAGCCATTGAGGTTAACAGAAGAATCAAAAAGGAAAATATGGGAGCAGGATATCACAGCTTCAGAATCCTATTATATTGTATCATGTAAACATACCTGGCCAATATCGATTGCTGGATTAATCGAATAGCCAAGATCCATGACAATATCAGCTGTCCTTGTGTGGAAATCCCCAGTTAGGGTGTCAATCTCAACTTCTGCAAATGCGGCTCCATAGGTGAAATAATTAAATGGAGTTCCCTTGCCAGCAATCCAGTCAAACCCAATATCCGGCGTGATATAAAACCCATGAGCAGAAAGATCAACCCGTTCCATGTAGCATGCTTCAGCTAACTAGAAAAACAGAAGGCCACACCAAAATTAATCGGACTGCTAACTTTTTTACAGCTGGAATAAAATATATTTTTAATAGATTTAATTTTGATAACTTGTAAATCTGAGCTGAAACCTTTATCTAACACTATATTTTTCCTATAAATGAACATCATTCTTTCAATGGCACACTCTGTCGAGTTTTTACCAAGCATGATCTCAAAGGGGCAACCTTGACTCCGTTGTCAACCCTAGTGGTGCGCTGTGAAATGATCTCAAAGGGGCGACATTGACTCGTTGTCAGCCCTAGTGTTACTTGATCCATGCTTCACATGGATCAAGGCTTCATTTAATATATGCATCTATTATACGGAGGCAGCCGCCGGCAGCCGGCCACTTTGCACCTTCGGATGGCCCTACTGCCGCCGACACCAGCCAGGCTTTGCCCAGCGCGCCCTCCGGCGGCAGTGAGGGGAGAGGAGGAGCCAGTCTGCCAGTGGAGGCCCTGGGCCGCCGGACTGGAGCGCCATAGTGCGACTCCAAGACGGTAGAAAGATCCCTTTTTCCGGTCAAGAAGTTCCCGTCTCGATTTTCAACGGACTTCCAGCACAAAGCTTTCTCTACCAACGACCAATCATACCTATGTGGTGAAAGAAAATATATTTGGGTTTCTGATTCAGAAATCAACGTTAGTTGGTGCTTGGGGATCAAGGTGCGGGACTGAGGGTTTCCCTGAGGGTGCTTGGTGATCAAGTAGAGATCCTCTAAGCTGTGCTTGAGGATCAAGGTGAGAGAATGGGGTATTGGTACTTTGATAACATTGTTGGATAATGAGCAACTAACTTTACCGAGGGCCAAAGGCCATTACATATACATGTCTGGTAAAGTGCATAAAATCCCTCAGGGATATAACGAAGAGAGACTATACACATCTAACACCCGCCGTCAAACTCATGGTGGATCAACAACATTGAGTTTGAAGAGGAAAAAGGCATCCTGCGCTCGAGTCTGTGCCTTCGTGAATAAGTCAGCCAACTGTAACTCAGAGGGCACATAGTGAAGAGCGAGAGACTGATCCTGCACAGCAGCACGCACAAAGTGGGCATCCACACCGATGTGCTTGGTGAGCTCATGCTTCACCTGGTCACGCGCAATACTGATAGCACCGGTACGTACTGTCAGATAGTAAGGGAGTCGAGGTAGTAGCAGACACACCAAAATCCTCAAGTAACCACCGTAACCAGATCACCTCAGCCGTCAACATAGCCATGGCGCGCAACTCAGCCTCTGTACTTGAGCGAGAAACTGCAGTCTGTTTCTTTGTCTTCCAGGCAATAAGGGAGCCATCAAGAAAAACACAATAAGCAGACAGCGAGCGTCGATCAGAGGGATCACAAGCCCAAGTAGCATTAGAGTAGGCCTGGAGCTCAAGAGAGCTAGAGCGGGGAAAGAAAAGGCGATGAGAGGTCGTGCCACGAAGATATCGTGGAACATGGAGGAGGTGACTATAGTGGACAGAGGTGGGGGCTGAAACAAACTGACTCAGGATGTGGACAGGATAGGAGATGTCAAGACGCGTAACAGCAAGATAGACAAGGCTGCCAACGAGGTGATGATAGCGCGTGGAATTAGGAAGAGGGTCACCATCAGAGGCACGAAGCTGAACGTTGAGCTCCATGGGAGTCACAACTGTGTGCTCATCATCAAGAGCAGCGCGAGGAAGAAGATCCTGAATGTATTTTTCTTGGGAGATATAGAAACCATCAGAGGTCGAGGATATCTCAATCCCAAGAAAATAGCGAAGTGGACCAAGGTCAGTCATGAGGAACTGGTCTCGAAGGCGAGCCTTAACAAAGGCAATGTACTCAGAGTCGTCACCAGTGATGATCATGTCATCAACATAGAGAAGGAGAGGAGTCAGACCACGAGGAGATGTGTGAACAAACAACGCGGGATCATGATCACTGGGCAAGAAACCAGCGGCAGCCACCACAAAGGCAAAGCGCTCAAACCAGGCACGAGGGGCCTGTTTAAGACCATACAGGGAGCGACGAAGTCGACAGACCATACCATCAGGAGCATAGTATCCCGGTGGTGGCTGCATATAAACCTCCTCGTGCAACTCACCATTGAGAAAAGTGTTCTGGACATCAAGTTGAGAGATAGACCAATGACAAACATAAGCCACAACAAGGAGAGTACAGACAGTGGTCATGTGGGCCACAGGAGCGAAAGTCTCATCATAATCGCGTCCCTGCTCCTGTTGATAACCACGGGCCACAAGACGAGCTTTGTAACACTCAAGAGAACCATCAGAGCGAGTCTTAATCTTGTAGACCCACTTGCAGGTGATGGGACGAACACCAGAAGGGAGGGAAACCAGATCCCATGTGCCAGAGCGCTCAAGAGCAGCAAACTCTTCGGCCATCGCAAGCTGCCATTCAGGCTGAGTCATGGCAGTCCGATAGGAAGTGGGCTCAGCAAGAACAGAGAGACCGTACCGATCAGGAGAGTAGCGATCAAGCGGAGAGCGAGACCGAGCACGGAGGTTGTGAACCGGGGTAGGTGTGAACGGGGGTTCATCAGAGGTGGAAGGCGCGTCAGGCACGTCAGGAGAAGCATCCTCAGTACAAGGGCGGCGAGTACAGTGGAGAGGAAACGGTGAGAGAGGGTGACGAACTCAAGAGGATGGTGTAGAGGTGGAGGAGCATGGAGAAGATGGTGTCGGTGGTAAGTGAGTATGAGTGAGAGGTGTAGGAGGTGGAGGTGAAACATGAGGCACATAGCCAGGTGTGTCGGGAAGGAGAAGAGAAGAAATATCATCCACAGAGAAGTGCGAGGAAGAAGGACGTGGGTAGTAAGAGCGAGACTCGTCAAAGGTCACATCATGCGAGATGCGCAATCGACGACCAACAGGGTCCCAACAGCGATAGCCCTTGTGCTCATCACTGTAGCCAAGGAAAACACACTCAACCGACTGAGCCGTTAGTTTAGTGCGTTCATGCGAGGCAAGAAGGACGTAGCACACATAACCAAACATACGAAGAGCTGAGTAGTCAGGAGAGCGACTAGAGAGACACTCCATAGGAATACCGCCCTGCAGAGCAGTCGAGGGCTGAATGTTGATGTAGGTGGATGCGGAAATAGCCTCAACCTAAAAATGGGGTGGAAGGGACGCATCAATCATCAACGCACGAGCCGTCTCAAGCAAATGACGATGCTTACGTTCGGCAACGCCATTTTGAGCATGAGCACCAGGACAGAAGAACTGGGTAAGGGTACCCTGTTCTGTGACAAAGCCATGCAACAGCTGGGAAATATACTCTCCAGCAGAGTCAGCCTGAAAAGTACGAATAGGCGTGGAAAATTGAGTGTGAACCATGGCAACAAATCGTTTGTATATAGAGAGAACCTCGCTACGAGATTTCATGAAGTAGAGCCAAGTGTAGCGGGAGAAATCATCAATAAACAAAACATAGTAGCGATGACCACCTTTCGAATCAAAGGGGGCTGGGCCCCAGACATCAGAATGAACTAAGTCAAAAGGATGCTGAGAGACCGAATGACTGGTAGGATAAGGTAACTGGGTCAGTTTGCCAAGTCTACAACCATTACAAGGTAAAGAAACATCTCTAGATACAGACCCTAAGAGGCCCTGATGCACTAAGGAAGACAAGCGAGAGCCACAGATGTGACCAAGGCGATGATGCCACTCCTAGAAGGACGCAGACGAAGAGGCAGCAAGAGCATGGTGTTGGAAATATGCCCTAGAGGCAGTAATAAAAGTATTATTATTATATTTCCTTGTTCATGATAATTGTCTTTTATTCATGCTATAATTGTATTATCCGGAAATCGTAATACACGTGTGAATACATAGACCACAATACGTCCCTAGTAAGCCTCTAGTTGACTAGCTCGTTGGACAATAGATAGTCATGGTTTCCTGACTATGGACATTAGATGTCATTGAGAACGGGATCACGTCATTAGGAGAATGACGTGATGGACAAGACCCAATCCTAAGCATAGCACAAGATCGTGTAGTTCGTTTTGCTAGAGCTTTTCCAATGTCAAGTATCTCTTCCTTAGACCATGAGATCGTGTAACTTCCGGATACCGTAGGAGTGCTTTGGGTGTACCAAACGTCACAACGTAACTGGGTGACTATAAAGGTGCACTGCAGGTATCTCCGAAAGTGTCTGTTGGGTTGACACGGATCGAGACTGGGATATGTCACTCCGTATGACGGAGAGGTATCTCTGGGCCCACTCGGTAATGCATCATCATAATGAGCTCAAAGTGACTAAGTGTTTGGTCACGGGATCATGCATTACGGTACGAGTAAAGTGACTTGCCGGTAACGAGACTGAACGAGGTATTGGGATACCGACGATCGAGTCTCGGGCATGTAAAGTACCGATTGACAAAGGGAATTGCATACGGGGTTGATTGAATCCTCGACATCGTGGTTCATTCGATTATATCATCGAGGAGCATGTGGGAGCCAACATGGGTATCCAGATCCCGCTGTTGGTTATTGACCGGAGAGCCGTCTCGGTCATGTCTGCATGTCTCCCGAACCCGTAGGGTCTACACACTTAAGATTCGGTGACGCTAGGGTTATTAGGAAGACTTGTATGTGATTACCGAATGTTGTTCGGAGTCCCGGATGAGATCCCGGACGTCACGAGGAGTTCCGGAAGGGTCCGGAGGTAAATATTTATATATGGGAAGTTGTCATGCGGACACCGGAAAGTTTCGGGGGCATATCGGTATTGTACCGGGGCCACCAGAGGGGTTCCGGGGGTCCACCGGAGGGGGCCACCCCTCTTGGTGGGCCACATGGGCCGCGTGGGGAAGGGAACCAGCCCCTGGAGGGCTGGGCGCCCCCCCCTTGGGCCCATGCGCCTAGGGTTGGGGGGAACCCTAAAGGGGGCGCCCCCCTTTGCTTGGGGGGCAAGCCCCCTCCCTGGCCGCCCCCCCTCTAGATCTCATCTGGAGGGGGACGACCCCCTTCC